ATCTTGGAAGTTGTATTAGTTCTGACTGTAGTGTGACAGGTGAGGTGAATGCACGAATCTGCAAGGCTCGGGCCGCGTTTTCTAACTTGAGACACCTATGTCGTCAGAATGGTTTATCCCTGAATCTGAAGGGACGTGTGTATCAAGCTACAGTACGGGCTGTTTTGTTGTATGGCTGTGAGACTTGGCCTATTCGAGCAGCGGAACTGAGACGTCTTCAGGTGTTCGACAATCGTTGTCTCAGAACCATAGCTCGTCTGAGTTGTTGTCGGCGAATCCGTAACGAGGCAGTTAGAAAGCGTGTTTTCGGTTGTGTAACGGGTACTTCCATTGAAGAATGTGTCCAGCACCAGAAGCTGCGTTGGTTGGGACATGTGTTACGTATGCCGAATCATCGTTTGCCGAAGAGAGTGCTGTTTTTCATGCCCAACTCAGAGTGGCGTAAACAGAGAGGTGGCCAACCCTTGACTTGGCGGAGGAGGATGAAGGAGATCACGAAACGCTTGGGTGCTGTCGGTGCTACCCGCCTTCCAGGAGGGGGACCGCGTGATCCTCACTGTGCCTGGTTGAAGACGCTACAAGATATGGCTGCCAACCGATGTCAGTGGCGTTCTTGTTGCCAGTTTTTATCCAGATTGCCTGAGTGAATGTCTGGAAGTGTAGGCACCTCGGAATGATTGTGTTAAGCTAGCACTAAGTCCCTCCCCCGTCCACCTTTATTCTTTTCTTTGCTATAAGGCTTTCAAATAAGTCATGGTTGTACGGCAGTGAAGCATCGGTGTTCGACACTGATGTCATGCTGTCGATGATGACTTGTCAGCCATAAACCGTGAACCATAGGGGCATTGGTTCCAGCTGCTAGTTTCGACCACTTGAAGATGAGAGAGTGCGGGAGATACGGCCAAGGCTTGGGGGTGATAGCATGTTCAGTTAGTTCGAGAACTTCGTAGCATTGTGGACGATACCTTTTATGCAGCCGCGTCATTGACTGCGTCTGGGCCATTTCTGTTAGTGCTATTGACCATTGGTGAGTTGAGTTACGGGGAGCCGGCAATCATCGATCCGACTAAGTTTACCGGTTAGTGCTTTCGCACTTCGTTACCAGTTTATACACTGTCCACCTCTCGGTGGCTTCCACTCAGCACAGAGATGGGCGAAAAGAGCGTTGCGAAGCAGACGGTCTTCTGTCCTGCGGAGTGTATGTTCTAACCAGCGTAACCCATGAAATGTGAGTAATTCAATCATCGCGGTGGAGTTATTTCTTCTTATGACTATCCGGCGCATTTTAGACCAATGCTTCGGAGACACCAGTGGTCAAACAATGACGTCTTCCGTATGATCTCTGCTCGTATAGGACACGTTGTTGATCCATAACCCAGTACGGATCGCACTGCCGCAGTGTAAACTCTGACCTTGACAGACAAAGTCACGTCACATCGACGCAATAGGTGTCGGAGGTTGGCTAGGGACCTGAATTCACAATTTACCACCCGAATCTCACTATCGGGAACAGGCACTATGCGCTTCTTCTTAAGGATTTTAAATGAGACCACCATTATCAGTTTTCACTAACTTCCTTTGAGCTGCTTAATTTGTCATCCTCAGATTAAGTGTCTTTTACAAAACTGAATTGCATATTTCAAGTTTGGCAAATTAGGTAATTACCACATTTCTAGTCACACGTAACCAAAAAAAGAGGGTGCGTTTTCAGTCCCTAATCATGTGTGCCAGCGAAATATAGTCGGTTTCACATTTGGATTATCGGAATAATCCATGTGTAATTTGTCTTGAAGACCGACTCCACTCAGCAACCGGTCTGAAAGTGGAGTTCTTAGTCAAGGCCGGAAATGATCGAATATGGCATGCTTCCACAGAGCAGATTCAACTCACGGGCCGTCACGAGGCTTGCACGCGACAGAGTAATCCATTCTGAACGCGATCTCATGGAGCGCGAACTAAGGCGCGCACGATCTAGGCAGGTGTTTCCAAGAGACATGGGAAAAGTCTCGCAGCTTCGTTACATTTTGACGTTCATTTGACCCCTTAACAGCTTTACATATGTTGGACAGTTTTTCGTGACGTTTCTTCAACTAAAGAAAATGTTTTTTCCCACACCTTCAAGGATCAGAGACATCCGATCCCTTTTGAACAGCGGACGTTTGGCTGGATTTCGGCTTCACAATTGAGATTTCATCGAGCGATCGAAGTCACAATACTCTGAATCGTTCAGTCCAAGGCGCATCTCATGACCTTCCGTATTACACACTAGCTATGAGAACATCCATTTTTAAGGAAAGTTCCAATATGAGGCCGACGAGGTAGTGTCATAAAGTGCACTGATCAAGCTAAACTCAGCTTCTGATAATATTGGTTTACCATTACCAGTCACGTAACTTTTCATGCCAACGATCGCCTTTCCGATTTCTTATGGGTAGAAGTAGGCTGGAAGTGATAAAAAAACATTTTTTAACGGATGACGAGCACTTGGCCTATCAATCCAATGGAACATTTCGCAAGGCCGAGACAAACTTGACCTTTTGGGAGAGGAGCAACCATAGTACGAACTAAACAGGAACTGACACAAATGAAATTGTTTCACATTATTGTTGTTAGTCCCGCGACCTTCCACATCTTTTGTGAATCTGTCTTTCGTACCAGATATTGGTGAACGTATTTGATACGAACAGTACCTAAGCAGCGATCCCTATGGAGGAAAAATGAGTCCAAGGGTATTAAACTTTTTATCATTGTGGAAACTACAGGAGTGCTCTTCAAACACTGTTTCTTCCACAGAATTCGCAAAGTCCCTTGGAGTGTCTTCATTAGGAGGTGGGTCCCAAGAGAGCAGCACCACTATCAGAACACTGTGCAACAATAAAATTGATTCCAAATGCGGACTAGTCGTGAGTAGGCGGAATTGGATAAATAATTTACACCAGTGGTGTCATTGGTGTAGCAAAGACCGCCATCCGGACACTAAAGCATCAAAACGAAGATACTGAATCTTGCCTTATCAAGACAAAATAGCCTCTACCAGACAAAAACACAGTACTGCTGAAGTTGATATCACTGAACTTCCGTAAGGATGGACTGATTGGCAGCCAAATCCTTTTAGGCACGTCAGTGATAAAAGTATGAGGAACAGAAAATCAAATTGCAGGCAAGAAACCAAACACTGTCTACCATAGCCAAAATAGGCAGTACCACAGAGGATTCCAACGATTCCAGAATCTGCCCAACAGAAGGAAGTACTGGTGCTTTTTCACTGTTGCTGCATTCATGTGCCGGGATAATTGCATACCCAGCGAGAATGAAGTTAAAAGTTACCTTCTATGGCGTCTAACGCATCTGTTTTTCGGTTAATAACAAATGTCAGTGGAGATTTCGTCCTGCGAATGAATCTGAGAAGCAGCGTGAAGCTGTTTCATTCTTACTGAGAACCATCAGCAGTACGCATCTCATGAATCACCAGGGCGATTCGAAATCGCTGAAGACTAAATTATTGAGCCACGAGCGGCGGGATTAACTCGCACTTAGTGTCAATTACGTGACTCAAATATTTGTTTCCGTATTCCTCAGACTAATTCATCACCCTTCCGATGACTGCCCAAATTTGAAGACTGAACTATTCCATTTTATTCAAAGTCGACTCTACATTAACTGTTTTCATGCCTCGGTTTATTTACATTCATTTCTGGGTTTGTTGCTGAACATTTGGTCACAACATTTACCCTGTTTAATTTATTTGATAACACATTGCCCTTTCTGTGCTATCCTGTATTGCTAACTAGCCAAGGTTCAGTCTAGACGTAAGCTTTCCCTTAATTCTGCTCAACACTCGCCGTTAATTTCTTATAGAACCACGATCTACCTATCCATACTGTCTACCGACGTCTAATCCAATATATTGTTTGCTGCCCACTTGCGACTACTGAACAAACGCAGGCGAAGTTCGTAGAATTCGGTTTCGCCATAATTATTACTGACCGTCCGTCGTTGAACTGGACTACACGTTACCTGTCAGATAGGACACATAAATCGTGCGTTTAGACTTATTAACCAATTCCTTGCCCTGAGATTACGGCCTTAGCACAGGATCGTACAAATGGAATATAGCGTCACTCATCCTTCAGCCACGGAATCCACATTGTGTGTGACTGGCTCCTCGAGTGACGACATCCTGGATGGAAGATTCACTTGTATTAATTATTATCCTTTCTGAGCTACTCACCGTTTGTTGATGGTATGGGATCGGGTGGGCTGAAAATAGTCAACGAATGTTTTGTGCATCCATTAATCCGGAGCACGACAAAGCAGTTGATAGACGTCAATCTCTTGAAAATAAGGAAATTCACAGGCATAAATTAGAAAACTAGTGAAAACAGGCCTAAACTTCAAAAAGTAATGTAACAGAGTAACAGAATGATTGCAATATTGCTTTGGAGTGACGCATTCGCCACAAATACTCGTCCAACCGAGTCTCGAACTCTTCCACTTTCGTGCCATTCAAGCTTTCAAAGTGTCTCTTCCAATGAGACCAGTGGCCAATAACCGTTTGAATATGAACAGCACCTTGCTCGGATTCACGCGCCCCTCTAGTTCGATCAGTTACATAGTGTAAATAGCCCTCGGGAAGTTGGCTGAGTGGACTATATCCTTCCCAATCATCTGTAATAACAGCTGTACCAGGCTAGATGGGCAGAATATTGATCAGTTTGAAGGGACTGCTTACCTTAACGTATTCTCTTATGACTGGGACCAAACTGAAAGCATCACGGTTATTATGCGGACAACGGGCAAGGAAGGTGCGTTCCGTGCCACGCTCCACACCACCAATAAGCCAAATTTCCTTCACCGTCGGTCCGACTAGTGGATCTTCCAGCCAACAAGTAAACATGCATTCGTCAACTTCAACCACTCGATAGTAGTTGGAAGCATCACCGTCCTGCTGTACTCCTCCAATACGCTCCTTCAATTCGGAATTGGTCTGAAAAAGGAACGATCCAATCAAACTAATGAGGTAACGCGAGGGCTTACCTCACGGCAAACTTCACGAATGCAGTAAAGCCAATCATTGGTATCCTGTATCGAGGTGTCCGTATCGCAGGGTATGAGATTGGACGGATGTCCTACACTCCAGAGATATAAAATTTGTGTAGCAGTTCGAATACTCATATCACAATGGGTGAAAATGCTACGATGGCGAATGGACCGTTTGTTCTGACAACTATCACATCGCCATGTCCATCCATCCGGTGAACCCGTATCCCGGACAAGGTAGAGTTGGTCGACACAACCACCCTTATTACACTGCAGCCGATTAGCGATAAGCCGACGTCGAGCCAACCAACACAACAGTCGAACATCATCCTTCATCAAATGGAAGAAATCCATCAGACGCAGACCTGGTTCGTTGAGCCAGTCATCTCTACGGGAGAAGACTTGGGTGCAGATTGCATGAGCTCTAGTTCGATTACCGGTTTCTAGAGTAGATGATCTATTCGGAAGAAAAGTAGCAATCGGACAAAAACGCAAGGACCTACCCTCTTATAGCTTCCGGGGGGATTTCAACCAACCCATGTATGAGTCGGTCATACATTCGAGCACATGCTTCACGATGGCGGAGCGTTCTAAATAAAGAACGTTAATGCAATGTTCTGGAAATTAATCGAAACGCACTTCTCGGACACCTTGCGTCTCGTTTTGCCAGTGAGTGATTGCATGTTAACAATGCTATGGTTCACAATTATTAAGTTGCTTATTGCAAGAAAATAGAGATCTACTTAAAATCCTCGTCAACCATGACAATCACCTGGTTCTCTGCAGCTGAATGCTGTAAGCGTTCTTCTTTTGTATTGTCTGAACTTGGCTCTTGACCAGGTTCACTAGAGCAATATAAGGATAGAAGAATGGTACTTAGTCGTACATCCATGGTGAGATACGAGCCTGGAAGAGACAGCACTACTGAAGGAAGTTACTGACCGATACAGAACAAAACATTTCACTGTAAAACCGAGTCCAAAGCAGCCTAAATATGATGTTTTATTGATTAACTAATTGACAGTTGATGATGTATCATCGAAGTCCAAATCCACCAGTAATAATGAGATAATCGGTAGAAGACATGACAAACATTGTGGCAGTCCGACAGCTTGTTGTTGAGTAAGTTTTCAGTTTCTAAACTACCTTGCTAAATTTCGGTTGATGACCGGGTGAGTATACGAACAAATACAATATAGAATCTGATGGACAGAATTGGACCACTGCGAGCCTACGATCGCTGCGCTAAAATGCCATCGCTCGAACAAAAGGATCACGTTCATTTTTGTTCCTTGACTAGATCTAACAATCTATGAGATGGGAATGCGAAAAATTGAACGTGCTGTGTGAAACCGTTGAGAAAATCAAGGATCTGCGTGCAGACGCATTGCTGTATGCTGCTTATAAATTTTTGAAGTGGGACTTGACCATGCGGACCAACATCCAACTGAAATCGACTGGGTGCACAAATCTGACGTCAGAATGCTGTATGAAAGTAATTAGATCCTACCAATGACAGCGAACCTATAAGGCCAAGGCCAGTGTAGAAATTTTTTACTGTTAGCATAGCACTAATTGAATTTGTTAAATATATTGTGCAGAGCCTACCAATGGTTGTGCACCGGTAGCTATGCTCTGGAAAACCTTAATCGCTTTATCTCTACTGGTCAAGTTTCCCGGTCGTGCATTCAAAAGCAAGCACTCGGTTTCAAGTGGTCTGTATGTCGTGTAAGTGGCACTGATGGGCCGATGCGTACAGAGTAGTCACAAGCATCCAAATAGTGCAAGCAACTGTTGTGACAAATCGCGGAATCGAGTGATGTTTTCATATTAAAATACCAGTTACCGAACTGAGGAAGCGGGAATTAGGGATAAGAGAAACGCTTTGAATCAACGCAGAATGATATAACGATATGATCATACGATAAATATGCCCATCACGCATGGGATCTTAAGTAGACAGCAGTTCTCTGCGAGGATCGGTGACTACACGGATGAAACAGTCCGCCGGGATGCCAGCAAGCAAGTTGCCCGGATAAGTCAACGTCCAGTTAGACCTGCAATAAAATTTCATCGTCTGTGCGAACTGGTAAGTGAGCGCGCGGTCTTGGGAGTAGGCGCCGCTGATGCAACAGATCTCTCTGGTCTCAAAGTCTAATGAGCCTTCACGAGCGTGTAAGGCCTCGTGTGGGTGGGCTTTCCGACCATAACTTTAACTTAATCAGGCACACATATTTGTTCGTAAGTAAACAAAGAGGGGATGTAGTTTTTGACGAGCCATTTGCTGAGATAAAGGGAGGATCATGCAGGTTTTACGTGGGCGGGGAACAACATACAAGAACCAGCCAAACTGAAGACAAAATTTGACAATTTAAAGAGAATGATCTCACAAAACTGAGAAGGGGGAGAAGATGAAATAACTTACCGGACCGTAATGCCAACTTGTGTCGCTCGTTTCCTGCGCTGTACCCTGAAGGACTGTTATGAAGCCTCTGTCTCAGTACTTACTTTCGCGGGACCCGATTTCGAACTACGGAACATGGAAGTGTTGCTCCGGGCTCCTCGGGCCTAAAAAGCAGAGGCCGAAAGCAATCAAGTCACATGGATCATGCTCAACAATAGATGGCCAAACTCGAGAACGGGGACGCGATATTGCGCTCAACAACCTCGGTTCCAGTCATTGTTAGAAAGATTTAAAACAAAGGACGATCACAGGAAGTTCCCTTAGAGAAACTCAGGAGTTTTTCAATGCAAGAGATCATGTGGTAGACGAGAAAGTGAATGGGGAAGTTAACTACAGTGTTAGAGAAATGTGCCTGCTTTGCAAGCCTGTCTATCTGGTTTAATCGACAATACTGACTAGCACATCGAACATTCTCTCCATTACGGTCGAATGATAATGCCAGAAGGGAAACTAGTCCACAATGGACGCCAGCCAATTAGTATTCAAGCAATATTTGGATCCCACGAAAGATGTTCACCGGGACATCAGGTATGTTGATCCTGCGGCGCAGAAGTCCTCATGCAAACCAATAAACAATTTGTGAGATTTATGTACCGCATGCTGGTGTTGGTCGACCGGTCAACTTCTTCGTTATATCGTGTGTTACTGACTAATGCCACAGCGTTTTTCGCTGGTGCAGATAAGTTTGGGTCTCCTTGTTCAACCAGTGTACGCCACCCACCCAAGTGACAGAACGATGGTGCACGTGGATTCGCAACCTCACAAACAACGGTTTCCAATAATCGGAATCAGAGGATGGCGTAGGCACGTATGAGCACGCAGAAAAAATTTGCCACCCCCAACTAGATACTAATCGTCCCACGCATCTGAGATATGCGAATGCGCACTGCGTTTAGCAAAGTGGTGTTAGTGATGGACAGAACCAAACCAGATTTTACGGTGTGCGACTACCGTCGGCTAACTTGGCACGACCATCGAACATTACATGCAGCTTTCGGACATAAAACCCACAGGTATTGCCAAAAACGCCTGCCTCATTCAAGTCGGGAAGAACTCATACGATCCGATATCCTTAGTCAGCGTTCCTGTAGGTTTAGCACCTCCCACACTCATCGTTCCTAGGGATTTACGAATCAGCCTAACAAGCGATTCGTGTTGGCTGCATCCATGGTTGAAACAGTGAATAGCTAGCTTCACGGACGTCTTCGCAAGACGGTTAGTACACGGTTGAGGGTGCCCGATATTTTCGCATGTTCACATGTGCCCACATCGTCCCCTGATTCTGATCACTGACAACTATCGTTTATGAGGTTGAAAACCCATGTGCACCATGTATCATTCAGGAAGGTCGAGTATATTGGTTGGACAACAAAACACACACGAGAAAACAGCATCGGATCAGTCGGTTAGGAACACAACATAGAGGAGATGACAACTGGATAGGGACCAACCCATCCTGTCAGCTAAGAGGGGCGTAGTGGAAAGGTAGCAGTGTAACGAAACGAGACCAGAATGGTACAGAATTACCCAGTAGTTTTTAGATGAAGGTATAAAAGGGTGCCGTCGAAAGAGTCAACACATGTAATCTGAGGACAAGAAGTGCACAGCATTTCTTAGAGCGCACTATGAAGGTAAGGAGGAAGACGATAAACTTCTTTTGTGCTGATTTGACTACGGAGCAGTTCGCGGATTCTAAAAAGATCCTGTAGAACAGACCTACGCTGGAAACTGCGCCGTTGCTCCATAGTTATTAGGAATAATTGAGAAGGTTAAAAGTTATGGGCTCCTCGACAAGAGTTGACGGCTATGGGCTGTGGATGACGAGTGTTCGAATTGAACCTATACAGGACATAGTGCCACTAAGTCCAAACAGTGTCGACTGGCACTTCCAGTGACGACTTATCAGTGAAGAGAGTTGGTTGGATGACTTCCGTTCCGAGGTAGTTATTGAGATTTTGAAGTTGCGATCCGGAATCGGAGCGGGTCCACGCTGAAAAGGCCAGAAGCACTGAACAAGTGTCTCACGCTGGGAAACATCCACAGTGTGGATGAGCCGTAGGTGAGATGAAGAGGTTAGCACGTCCACCAGACGACAGCTATTAGAATCCAGAATTTGTCTTCTGCCAGTCCTAATAAATTTATAGATACTGAGCTCGAGATAGCTCGGTGGTTAAGGTTCGAAGTTACTGACCGGAAGATTCAAGGTCCGAATGCGAGATCAGCATTTCGGCTGCACTTGTCAAGGCTTGGGTAACCTAACAGTATCTCAGCCCTCGTGCATGCTCCAGGTAAAATGGCAGCTAGGCGCTGAAAGGGTAATAAAGCTGGACGAACGATAAATGCCTGTTAATATTGGAACATGTGGCTATATTATGTGAGTTCCCGCACATAAGCGGCGTCACGTTTCGGAGGGCGGTATCAGATGAATGAACATACCAAACAAACGAATACAATGGGGTATGTATTCACGCAGTATTCATGCAGTGTAACAAGATGTCCGAACTGCTCTAGGAGCGCGACTGTTAGTTACAACGCCACAGAAGGGAATGAATACCGACCTGAGAGAAACCGCCTGAAATAGCTCGCCGACCGTTTGCAGTCGTTTTCAGTTCGACTAAGTTGTTATTCTAGGAATCTCTCAGTTTCCATTTATTTTCACCTATTTGCAAGTCACTTAACGAGCTGCATAACGGTCTTCTATTTTTTTTACTGTCGTGATTTCATATTGAACACTGAGGGATGTTTGGCCAATCCATAGCCTTTTCAGCAAATTTGTGTTTTTCCCACCCTTTGAGTTTCAGACGCCGTAACAAAGTCTTCTAAACTGGATGCCAAAAAGATGCCCCTTTTCCTACTCACTCAATGGATTGAAATTGGTTCTCAGGCAGTGAAATCGGTCAGTGATGAGGAGAACTAAACGAAAACTAGTTTTAATGGGAGTCAGAGGGAACGGTATATTCAGGCGCCTTTGGTGTGTGGACAATGACAACCAACATGTTCCATTGTTGACATCACACAAGTGACTCATACATGGTACTAACGGTCTTCAAAATGTTAATCCATTTGGTAGGCTCGTTGTCCAGCACACATCAAGTTCACTGCTTCAATGTGAACTGAGGTAATTATGACCATGGTATTCATCGGTCAGTCGCACTGAGTTGCATTCACATTTTTCAAGTTAATGAGATCTCTTCTAAACGATATCGGGTGACCGGTGAATGAGACAATCTTGAACAAGAACTCAGGTGTACAGTCTCCTCCCGAGTACTTCTTCGTATTCATGATATGTTTATACTTGTACTCTTACGTTACCCCATACCAATCGATTTGGTTGAACCAGTCCTAAACGATGATTTCGCGACGGGTTCGAAGCACTTTTCAAATGATCGAGCGATTAATAGTATCGGACGGTATTCAGCAATCATCCGTTCGGACGCCGCTACTTGAGATGAATTTATTCCTGGATTTTTGCAGATTCGTATCAAGTCGTCTTCATAATTTCATCCAGAAATCGTGAAAAGTTATCTTAATATGAAAATATCAATGTGGTGCGACATGAATGGTCACATGGCGTTGGAGTGCTCGACTGTTCGACAATCGAGAAGTAAAATCACTTCCACACAACCGATTTAATTTGGCAGTTTATCGGGTTCACCAAAAACCTCGTCCTCTATGTACAACGTACCTCTCAGTCGGAAAGACTGTAAGATCCCCGACGCTCGTCCGTCCATCATTGAGCAACGAAGTTTCTGAATTGCACGGCACCGGGATTTGTCTACAAAACACAGGAAGATACGAAGCTGGACGGAGCAGATAAGAAGAAAATGAGGAAGAGCGATTGGTGGTTGTGGCAGCTACAACAGCCTTTGGAGTGAAAGGCTAGCTGATTAGACGTAATCCAGCTTTGTCATGGACCGGTATTGTAAAGCTTAAAACCGTCAGTGGAAGAATAAATAGCCATTAAGCACGAATTGGTTCATCCCTAAAAATAGAGTCGGTGAGACGTCAGTAACTGAAGCTACCAAAGGGGTTGTTACGTCCATGTACAGAAAAGACTACCCATTCGATCGTTGGTTTGTCCTCTGGCTTGGACAACTGGATGGCAAACGTTTCATCACCAATCGAGGTGAAAACGTCAACGCGTTAGTGTGCTACGAATAGTAGCGTGGGGTCAGTGGAAATACACTGAGTATTTGCGTGCATATGTTTATAAACGTACTGGTAGCCGGCTCTGATCTTTGATTATGGTTGACTTTCTGCGCGTGCAGTGACATTGGGTGACGCGTTGGTGATGAAACGTTTGCAACTTGATTGCCTAACCAGCCATGCAAAATCCTTTCTAGCAGTGGATCCCCTAGATTCCCAGACTCGAAAAACAGTAAATTCATTTGGAATGGTTCTTTGGATAGTGTCTCAAAAATGCAGTTCATATTCTCCTGGAAACCGGGGTATGATTAAAGAACAAACAAACTCATCGCACTTGGAGAAAATGCACGAGCCACTTTTCACGCCTTGATCGAAACTCCTTCCAAACCCTCCTTTAACGTTTCTCACAGCTCCACGTATCTGTTTCACGTACTATCTTTGGTGTTTTTTTAGGAAATTAGTTTAGGAAAGGTCGACGGCCTTAATTAGAAGTAAACCGAGGCAGTGTGAACACCGAATGTGACTGTCACCTGAAGGCGACGTCAAGCCATTCATTTTACACTGAATCAGTACAAGTCTAAGGGTAAATTAATACAGTTAACGGGTACCGGCTAACGTAACAGCTTAGGTTTTGCAAAGAAAAATGGATAATCGGAAGGACGGAGTACCTGTGACAGGATGTGATACAGCTACCGGGTACAAGATAAAATAATGATTCTGTCTGAGTAGCCGTATCATGTTACCCAAGACCGTCGTAAGAAAACTTGTGTTGAACAGTCTGTCTTTCACAAAAAAGTGTTCATGCCGTGAACGTCAATCTATAGCCAAAAAGCTTAAAATCTCACCCTGAGGTTGCAGTCTTCACCCACTCCGTTAACCGGAGATGTGATGAAGATGCTAATGAAATGCATGGTAGTTATGTTTGATGGCCAAGTGGAGTTGGTCAGGTCCCCATGAGGGCCAACGAAAACTGGTGCATGGTGATGAAAGCACGTGACCCAACGGTAATTCGCACAAAGTTTGCGATATCATGATGCGTTAAACTAACATGGATAAGAGGTTATTGGTTGCTATAAGCATCCATTTGCACAGAATTAGGTGACTTTGTACCTTGCTGATCGAGGAGTAACCAGAGGACAACAGAAAACTGAGAACTAGACTAGACTAGACTCACTTTTCCCTGAGAACCAGAGGTGGAATTTTCCGCTTACGGAGAGGTAACTTGTCCGTATATGAAGCGCCTGCGCCGGAGCTTTCGGAAACACCAGGAGGACTAGAACTGAGTAATCGAGGTACAAATGAGTGAGCCTAAATCAACACAGATAAAAAGTGCCCGCGTTCATGATATTGTTTCGCTCACTAGAACATCACGAGACTGTCGTCGGAAGGGACGACCACAATTCGCACTACTGAGCCAACATTCTGCTCGCCGCTGTTTAGTGTGCGGACATTGACACTGTATTGTGGCGGTCAGTGACAGACTTGTGCACTTGTTGACGTGGACAATTGAGGTTTTCTGTATAAATTTGCTTACCCTTGTGAAAATAGTGCCGTGGAATTTTGAACCGTATTTTTCCTTTTGATATTCGGGATTGTCGAACCTATGCGTCACTCAAAGTTCTGTATGGGGAACCTCATCACAGCAATTGTTAGCCACTGCATCGATGACGCATAAGCACGACATGTATCAAAAATTACGGAGTTCGAGATAGCTCGGTGATTAAGGCGTGAACTTACTGACCGGAAGATCCGTAGTTCGAACCTAACCCTGACATCTCAACTTCTCCTGCCTAGACTTGGGTATTTCTATTGCTTTCTTCGGGTGGTATAGAAACTAGACACCAGAAGGGTGTTCCAGTTGAAAGATTACTATCACTATTTTACCACACATTGCGAACCGCGAAAGCATAATTAGCAAAGGTTGTGGGACACTCCCTTTAAGTATCGCCATCTGTGGAAGACGAGCCCCCCCCCCCCCGTAGAAAAAACGCACTCTGTGACTAGCAATCGATAGGTAACAATTAGGAAAAGAAAGGTCGAGCACTAGGAGGCTTTAACTAATAAGATACCCCACTCGAGGGTCGGAATGACAAATGATTGATTGGATGTATTTCGTAAAAATATGTAGAAGATCTAAATGGTCAAACGGATAGAATACAAACACATGGAGATGAGAGTTATACAACTGTATAAAAATGTTGTACTGGTATGAGTGTAGAACCGAAATTACAGGTCAACGGTTGAACGGAGAGTGAAGCAAGCTAGCGATGGAGTTGTGGTAAAACCTATCGAAACATGCAGTACAAGAGTGAGCTTTTCACTTTTGGTGATCCGAAGCATTGTCCGCCTCTTATTAGTGTAGATTCATCCATCCATCCGATCACAATTCCCGCCTCCCGTTGGTTCCATTCGCAGAGTTCAGAAACATAAAAGCGATTCGTTTCACCTGATTTAGGTTCACTCATCTCAAATGTAGCTCGATTCGTTCCAGAATGAACCACGGTGCAGAGAACCTCAGTGATCTTCATTTCACAAGACCCACGCTTAATTTTGGAGAGATATTTGGAGCGTATGTAAGCTTCAGTAGGATCAAGTTGTCGTGAGGGCAAAGCACTAACACGCACGTGGTATGTCCCTCCTTCTCGTTGGTCCAAACATCTATAAGCCACGCAGTGAACATTGTGCCAATGTATTTTGTCGGTCCGAATATTGTTCCAAGCGGTTTCAAAACATTCGAAAAATTAACTAGCAGTTCTTTCTGGTTAACGAACGAATCGGTAGCTCACTCAAAAATTCCGTCAAGAGTGTTGCTGCTCCCGTTTTTCGAGCTCTCCGAATGGTGGCTAGCCTGTAATGGGTTACTTGTTTTAAAAAAACAACAGGGGACGACGCCTGACATAGATAACGCGTGAATTCCCGAGCTCTCTTCGTTTGGCTTTAATGCCGGAACGTGACACGAACTTTTTTCCTACCCAACGGCAGCACGAGTGACTTTGCTTGCACGCCTGGTCCGAAACTGGAGCTAAGATACAAGCACCACAGCCAACAGAGAAAAAAATCAGCACTTATTCTGAATTAGGCACCACAGCGAAAGACTGGGTTCCCAAGACTGTGCAGTGAAGTGCTGACAGCTCGAAGTTACGTCATGCAGTCTGAGCAGAACTGTAAAAGACAGGAAGTTTGTTTATGACTGTTTGGAAATAAAGGTAATGCGCAACGAATATCAAACAAGTATTTTTGTCAGCTTGCTCTTTAGTGGGAACCAACTGATTCAGTTTCAGTGCCCGATGACTTGGTGTTGTAGTTGTGTTCGCGTGAGTTTGGTTAGAGTTAATTCTATAGCCAATAAACACCAACTCCAGCGTTGTGGACAAATGGAATATGTAACTCTTTGTCAGTAATCAGCAACCGCTTAGTTCCGCAGACCAGTGGCATCTGACCGTAAAAGCATTTAATTTGAATTGGATGGATTTTCGTCTCTTACCGAGTAATCCCAAAAATAGCCGAGTGTGATAAATAGCAATTCTACAAACTCACGCAGAGATGCTAACTACCCCACCATTAGACTACCGGTCCGTTTGATGACTCCATGAGGACTTTCCCGATGATTGCAGTATGGTGGTGTCCCCAGGACGCAGCGAGGAACCAGGTCTGAATATAAAAATGCGTGTGTGGGGCAATAGTATTGGCGACGTGCATGAAGAATGCTCAACCACGTTACCAAGCCGAATTAGGAATTCCAGGAAATGAGTTAAAGATGCAGCAACCCTTTAGTGAGCTCGTCCAAAAAAGACCATCAGTGTGGCACCCTGAGACGTATCTTTCTGAGAGACGACGCTTTAATTCCCGACAAATCCCGAAAGGTACCACGCAAACAAGAACCACCTAAAATACCCCTAGAATACTTATGCCCCCAAATAGGTGCGAACCGGACTTAGTGATCAAATTAAGAAGCGGTCTTGAGAGAAACACAAAACAAACATATATATGAACCGTACATAGACCGGAGATACTGTAGCAAATGCCCGAAATACCTACAATTAGGGAAGCTGTGATCTGTCGAATATCTAGATAAAGAGGATATGTGGAGCGAGGTGTGGAATGTGGAGTAAAAAAACCTCGAAAGATATGAGGGTTTCAGTGGCCTTAAAGCCCCGATGGGCTATTATTTCTTCCCAATCTCTGATTCAGCACGAGCACGGTGAAAAGGAACCACGGATAGGAGTATCTGAAAGTTCGAGCAGAATTCATCTGCAAAACAGTCCAAGTCCTCGACTCGTACACCCTAATCTCCTCAGTCAAGCGCAGTGTTGTTAAAGTTTATATTGATCCCAAGATTCGACGACTAACTCAATGGCCTAAAGAACACTATCGGGATTCTTTTCGACCAGACAGTAAAATACTGATAATGTGATCGTCTTCCACGAATTAAGAACTGGTTACACAATTCAGACACGAAGCCTGAGGCTGTTTACTGTGTTCCAAGGTCACAAGTTTACTTGCCAAGGTTGGGGTTGTGGCCATCAAACTCCGTCAGCCTACACTTTGTTTACAAAGGAACCATGTTTATGCAGTTACACTCCTCTCGCCTAGACCACTGTTCCCTTCTAACAGGTTAACAAAGACTAGCCTCAGAACCCTTCCATGCTTCCATTCATCCATTCAACAGGGACCCAAGACAGACGAACGTACAGTGCCACATGGGTTTTTGACATCACAGTAGTCATACTCAGAGGATGGTGTGAGTACACGCTGGGCATGTTTCAGCAGGTAGAAGCCTGTCAACGCTAACCAGGTGCCACTCGCCTCACGTATCTCACGCATGTAAACGTATACTGCGTCGGGAGAAGAAGGATTCGCGTAGTGTGTGGGTTCAATGGTTTCGGTTGGACGAAGGTTGCCCAGATTGTGGTGCAAGTGGCCGATTCGACAAGCAAGTCAAACGACAGTTCTTCATACTTCACCTGTGAAATCAGCAGGCGTAATTTAAGACCGCATTCATTTGCGGCAAACCTACCGCTCTGGAATGTACGGTAAGCTTTTTAAACCGCACACATGGCTGTCGCGACTGACTGACTGACTAAACCGTCAGCTATTCCACTGTCTTGTTTGCTACCGACTGACACTACACTGTGTTCAAGCGCCTGTGGGTCAGTGTTTCCTAGTTCAACTGGTATATACAACCCATGTAAACGATATGCGAAAAAAATCTGCTAATCCTAACCAGGTGTCAATCGTCTCACGTGTCCAGTGAATACATCTATGCATTACGCCTAACAAGGCCGGATGTGTGTTGGTGGTGTACGGAACTTGATCAGATTTTATGGTGCATGGCTACTGTCGATTGACCTGGCACGACCAGCAAAAGATAATTTCCCATCGGCAAGTTCTCTACGAACACCTCGGACTCACGTAAGCTAGGAAGGACGTGTCAATGTCATGTCTGCGTGTACGGGCGATATCCGGTGTCATGATGCCTTGTGTTGCAACGTGTTACAACGTGAAAGTGCCTTCGCAAAATTCAAAACGACGATTGGGATCATTAACCCCAAGTTCCTTCAGGCGCCCGAGCTTCAACTGCTGAGGAATCTGGCGCGCTGTGAAATAAGAGATTCAATAATCTTGCGCCAACCATCTTACATTTTTACTTCAGACTTTCCTAACAAACTCTTATTTTCGGATACTTCGAGAGTTCCTCGTACTTATTACTGTTCAAATGCTATGTAAACGCATTAGAGCAGGAAGTACCCACCCAATTGTGCACTGATGTTTTCTCGTTTGGTGACGGAAAGTTTTCAAACTAATTGCCAGATCAACGGCCACTTGATCAACAACCAACAAACGCACCCAAGCTAACGATAATTCTGTACACTGCCAACACAAAGATATCTCTCAACAGGTTAATCACGGATAAGGCGTATCCAGAGTGATCTTCGCTAAGGGGTATTACAGAGAAGAAATTGGGGTTCAGCTGATCACACACACAACAAATCGCCACTGACTGGAAACATCTGTTGTGGACAGGAAAGTAGTTTTTTAAAAGGGTCCTCCCTTGCAGAAATAGCCCGCTACAAGATAGCGCCGACAACTGGGGCGAACGCCGCTTTTGGATCTAAGAAGACAAGTTGCCGGTATTCTACACGCGTGCAGGTATTCTAGAACTTGTCAAAAGGTAATAACGTGGTCAATGCATTCGCAAGTGGGAGACGACCCTGCTTGATTTTCGAGACTCTTGGGGCAGTCCAATCAAAGAAGAAAGTGAATGTCAACAGGGGTGGCTTTGCTGGTTAGGTCTTTCAGCATCCACCAACCGTCCCTTGTCAGTTTCCACCCTGGTTACTACTGTACAACAACGGCTCTGTGAAACAAAGAGGCCCCTGGCATGCGAAGCACAGGAACCATTGTGTGAAAAATACGTGACTAGTTAGTCAAAGTTGCGCTCAAGTGTATCGCCCGAAGTGCATCAGTACTGCTGATTCGCTGTTCTCATCGGAGCTAGGGATGGGAGATAAAAACGATCAACTACTTCAAGCTTTCGCATCTTTCTGTTCGCATTGAGCAGTGGACGCAAATTAGCACTGTATCTGTTCCACAAGCGGCTGGAAAGCTGATGTGAACTCAGCGCTGTGGGTGAACCAAAGCTGCTCTAGCCTGACGAATTCGAACAGTTGTTTGTTACTTTAGTAGTCTCCTGGGAACTCCGTTGTCGTCTAAATGCATCAATACATCACCCATATCCACCAATTCCTTGGGAGATGTGTAGGTTCCATAACATTCACTCCTCAATTGACGATATATATACTTTGTAGCAGGGAAGCGCACACCCAACGATAAGGCTATTCTGGCTGGGTTTGTAATTCTGTGGCGTTCTCAACTCTCGTGAGTGAACGTCTCAGTGGGATTTCGTTGCTGTTGTTTTCCAAAACTATTCGGCACATCAAAATAAAAAGAACTTGAATTTCTTCATTTTCTGGGGTGGAGATAGCACATGTTTTGAAATGCTGCTGTATTCGGTGTACAAAATATTTGTACCTTTGCCATTAGACCGACAACATTCATATTGTTTGTGTTTAGTCTGCATGTCGGTCAGCTGTAGTATCCCTTTGGTGCCTAGCTGCCATGCCACCCTAAGAAAGCACGGGGCCTGAGATATTCCCAGGTTGCCCAGTCGAGATGCAAGATTGGGTTCGAACCACAAACCTTCCGATCAGTAAGTTCGCGCCTTAATCGCTGAGCTATCTTGAGCTCGTTTAGTTTGCTTTCAACCAATCATCTACCACTTCATAAATAGCATACATGCCGAGTCGTCAGTGTGGGGATGGCTAGACGTTCTGGGCGTTTGGAATTCTGGTAACTGGAAAAATCCGTTTTTCCAGAGTTAGTATCCAGGCATGTGCGGTGCTAACGACAGAAAGTCCAAAGCAACTGATCACTGTTTCACTGTTTAAATCCTTATGAAAAATAGTTGTCTCACTATGTGTTATCATTACGTCAAGCAATCACTCATCAACCTGTCTGATGTGCCAAGCAGCTAAAACAAATTCAGAAACTAAGCGAAGGAACAAGCCGCTAAGAAGCTTTGGCTGGGTCTGTAGGAGCACTCAGTTATTAACACTCAATGAACTTACCTGCCTCCATCTGAACAGAGCTTCGCTGGTACAACAGGTTTGCGTCTTGAGCCTTCACGAGAAGTATTGGTCGGCATAGGAGAATCAATGCTCGTGGAACTGTAGGCACAAGTGTATATTGGACATGGGGTAAAACTGAAGGGAACGTTGTTTGGTCAAATTCATCGCTGAACATAGAGGAGCTGGTTGTATTCAACTGAATCGTCCAGTGCAGTGACCAAATAAACAAGTAATTAAAGACAAGCCTCACACACTTTGGATGGAGAAGAGAAAATTACACCTTTTCTAATGCACACAGCTGACGGGCTAGCCATCCTAAAGGAATTATTCCACTACTGCACTAGTGGTTCAAAAACCTGTTTATTCAGTAAATTTGTCGGCCGCACTTGACGGCGCCATCATAACGTTGTGGATTCATGCCTGACAACCGGGTCACACCTAATCTTACATATTCTCTCTACCCAGAAAAATATATTTTTGTCATGTGTCTGCAGCGTGCAGCTGAAAAGGAACTTGCTTTTCAAGCCCTTAGAGTAGATACAATTTTGCGCCTGGTCTGATCGACCTACGTCTGAGGAGATGGTCACTAACATGTCCGTTTGACGCACCGTTGAGAAGAGAGTGGACTTTGTTCTATAGTGACGGATTGCATACTTTAGAAATCCACTGAAATACGCTACGGGATGCCCATGCGGTATTCGTGGTTCCCCTTTCAAGTTGGTCAGTGAATAGAGGGTCTCCAGTTGGGGCGTTGGAATAAACGTGGCAACCGCTCCTCGGTTAGGATACTGTGTGGTTGCCGATACTCTATCGACAGACGTTTGCTGTATTTCTGAGGCATGAAAATAAGATCCAAGTACAGTAATTGAGCTTACAGCACATTCGCTATCGACTGCGGACTCCCGCTGATTCTTCAGTCACCACAACTGGTTGTGCGGTATTGATACATCTCTCAACCCGCAACTTCAGGCCTCCATGCTTGATTGGATACTTACAAACAGTGGTCTCTATGCCGTACGCCTATCCATTTCTATAAGGTCGGCTCTCTGTTTATAGTTTCAGTTTAGGCACGAAACAAAGTAGCACTTATTACGTGAAAGAAACTTAATGGGGAAGTAACCACAATTTTATCTCCCAAGAAGAGTTAAAATACAACCTAATCCTAGTAGGCTTTGACGCACAAGTAGGGGGTCACCGTCTATAGGGGACACGATTTGCCTCGTGCCATCCCACAAGCAGACCATCACTAGCAGATTCACCTTAGATTTTTCGCAAAAGCTTAGGTTCAGGTCAACGTGTTTTTTTTTGCTCGCAAGTAAGTGAAAAAAAGAGAATTGTTGTACTTCTTTTCCCTGAATCCGCTGCTTTCTGCGTCTACCTCATAGATTCTATATACACCAGTAATTCCTTTTGACATATCGAACCAATTTCCGTGGGCCTTTTACTCGCACTTTCTGACCACTTACGTTACCACGTGTTGTGCGTACATGTATGTTGCTAATTCAAATTGATTCGCCGTCCTCTCCGAGTGTGCTGTTTCTACAGTGTTTTTGTAGCCTTGTACGGCTGTCTTCGGACTTGCGACAATTTAGACGGAAATCCCCATAACTTGAGGTTAGTATCCCCTTATATGCATATTCTTGTACAAACAGTACCACATTTTATTGATAAATCTTGGCTTGTGACATCACGCGCTACTCAATTGGGCTTTCCCGAATACGCCAAGTGTTCTACAACTGTAATCACATACGTAACCCGTTGAACTGAACTTGTATCGGTATTTCGGTGCCTTTCCTCGATGCCTATTAGGGACTGGTAACACAAAACTATGATATTCATAACATCCATTGTCCAAGTAAAATACGAGCTGTCAAACGGCTTAAACAAGATCTGAAGTGTGCATTTGGAGGAACATCGACAACGAGGCCAGAGCTAACAACTTCATCCTTCAAAACTTTAAACTTCGACAAACTAAAAACCACAGTATAATTTTTGGAGTACCTTCGAAAAGGGGAATTCAACGCCATGCTTTCTTGTCACGGCTACGGTGCACAGGAACAGCGGTACTCAAAAATGACTGACACTGAGGAAAATTATGGTGACCCACAAGAACCATCAAGACAGCCTAAATACACAATTGACGCTATCATTAGGAAAAAGTGACCCACGGGATAAGCGGCTTCGTTCCAGACCCATTCAAGGGAAGACTGGCGCCAAACGACTGACGAGCCACCCGAATACTAGTAAAAAATGTAAAAGATGAGTCAGTGTGAAGCAATGAGCTATGGATGGTGAAGCGCATTACGTGGAGAGACCTAAAAATCCGTAGTATAAATGAAGGCATAGGAATGAGGCTCCGAAAGGCCTTCTGCAAGTAGCCATCTCGGAAGCTAAAAATCTGGGTCTAAAATACGTTGATGGACGGAGGAAGTTCTATCACCTGACAATAAAATATTCGTTCAGTTGTGGCACCGTTTCGGTTTATAGTTGTCAAACAGCTAGAAGAGGATGCGCGGGCTGCGATACTTCTAGGTTACCCAAGCCTAAACACGAATAATCGGATAGTCATGATGGGGTTCGAGCCATGGGTGTTCTAATTGGTGAGTTCACGCAATCGCCACTGATTTATCGTTTAAACAGTACGGTTAGGACGACAGACAATATCATCGATCGAATGTCGTACGGGGTAAGTCAGACGACAATGTTCTGGTGGTAACTTTACCTCAGGCAATCTAAAAGTTAATATCAGAGGGTGTGATGAATCAAGATTCACAAAGGCTTTCGAGTTGACGCGTCGATTTAATCATCGACAGAAAGCTCAATTCACACAACCATCTTGACGACAGTCAGGTTTCTGAAAACTTCCAGAGGTTAATGTGTCGCCAGTAGTGTGTTAATGAGCAAGTCAGATATTTGCTTATTTAACTTTCGAACACTAGCTAGTTCAATATGGAAATCTCCATCTCGTAAAAGCGAACTTACTGTTTCCAATAAGAATACAGTGGTTAGGCCAGCTGAAGCCGCCGAATACCCATAGTTAGTCACCTGTGAGGAAAGCTAATAGTTCACAGGCGAAAGTCCAAGCTTCGGCTTAAGAAGCTAAAGGCATAACGTGTTTAGAGCGAATCCCGCCAGAAGTAAAAGAAATAATAATAGTACTTTTACCTAACCAAACATAGGTTAACAGGTTCGAGTATAACCGCGCAAGAGAACACCAGAATAACAGTCAAAATAAGTTTCTCATCAACTGACCTATCATCCAAACGGCCGACTGCAGAACGCTGAAGAATAATCGGTTTCCTCATCGGATCTGAAACTAGAGATGAGGACAGAATCGAAACCTAAAGTGAGGGAAAAAGCACAAAGTCAACAGTTATCAACGTTGTACTTAAACAGTGGCCGCCTTCTCCGAGGAAAGCCGTCCTTGTTGTATCTGTAGATATGGGAGTCCGGATCGCCTGAAGGACACACCTAATGATCTTCACATTTCTATCGCAGGGGACAATATGAATGAATCACAAGGCCGCCCCACAATACGACCACTCACAACTGTCCATACCCGACGGTCTGCGGCATGGTGTGCACAGACAATGAGCCAAGGTCGAACGGCGTCGATGGTCTGAAGACCAAACTGATCACCGTTCGAACACGTCTTTGGTTTCCAACCTTGACAGCAACGTCAACCCCGAGTTGGTTCAGAACGTTTTTTAAGCATCATTCAATTACATGTCTAGGGCACGTACCCAAACCACTGTCCCCATATGCAGGACCAGCTCTAATATCTAATAGTGGGTTATCGGAAATACGTCCAACTACTTTTATTTTAGACGGGATCCTCAGGAGGTAGGGTACCTTCAGTTTTCGCATATCAGCGCATTGCGACGGCCAGGCTTCGTATCGGGACGGATAGACGCTTGGAGATTAGGAATTGGGTCTTGATAAAAATCTCAGACTTGCGCCAAAAGGCGTTCACGAAAAGACAATCTTACCGACATGTGACGTTTTGTGTATCTCCACGACCCATTGAGTGGGGTTTCCACACTACACTCGCAGAGACTCTGGTCAGTGGTTAGAGGTCTGAGGAACACAGTTTCCCGCCTCTCCATGTTGGGGTTGGAACATGGATGGTGACTTGTTCTGTAAAAATTGAAATGCACTTGTATCTCCCGCCAAACACGCAGCCACGCTTTCTGGCCAAAGGCTTTGGTTGGGGACCCTATTTATCCTCCTGTCTAGGTCTGGGCACCCTGGCAATATCCCAGCCCAGAGACAACCCTGGCACTTACAATATTCTCATGCCACATCGGCTGTCGTGTGGTGCCAACAGTTAGGTCTCTTCCATGGCTGCATACTGCAGGGCGGATAAACGAAAACAGGCTACTATTGACACTTCCAAACCCACTAATAACTCTCTCCTTGTAGGCCCGTCAGTAAGGATTCAGTTCATCCTGAATAGTGTTTGCAAGTAATATCTGCGCGTCATCCGGTACTGACATCCTCAGGCATCTCGAAACCAAGCCAAGCCAAGCCTCAACGCCCAATCTATCTGGCCGTCTTCAATGTCCGCACAGTGAAGCGAACAGGACAACAAGCTGCTCTGGACTTACTTGGCATTGATGCATGTTGTGCATTAGAAAAAGGGATACTATCAAGGATCAGAATGGATCGACCATATTGAATGAGGAACTTTTCGACTTGGAACAACAGTTATCGTGACCTGGGAGCTTTATGACTGCACGTGCTTTATCAAGAGCGACGGAGCTCCCCGTCCAAATGGACTCCCAATCGCATTGTCCAAACATGTGGGTGAAGTCCCCACTCGGCGTTTGTCTGATCTGTTTACCTGCATTTGAGAAAAGAAGACTGTCCCAGACTGGGAAAAACCAGTGATAGTGCCCATTTTCGAAAAAGGGGCTCGCATTGAGTGTGGTAACTACAGGTGACTCAGTTTGACTCCGGTTGTAATGAGACTGTTGGCGTCACTTTTGCTTCGTTGCCTTATGATGGCTTATGAAACACTGACTCTGAGACAGTAAGCGGAATTCCGGCCTTGTAGGGGTTGTGTTGACCAAATGTTCACAATCCTTCACGTATTGGAACAAAGTCAAACATACAAACAACCCACAGTTTTAGTATTAATGGATATCCAAGGCATGTGCGACTCAGCTAACTGGTCTGTTCTCCTTGACATACCGGAAGTTTGTGAACATGTTTTTTTGTATTCTCAGACTTCCGGATGTGTGGGTGTTATATCCTCTGATGATGTATCAGACTCGTAAGTTCACCAGAATGGAGAAAACAAACACCTTCGAGGAAGTTGTGCGGCGGTGAAGCATCCCTCTTGAGCACTGATGTTAGGCTGTCGATGATGATGACGTTCTGGGGTACACTCTATTGTGGGCGAGGTTATTAGAGCGCGAATTTACAGATCGGAAGCCCCATGGTTCGAACTCGACATCTAACTTTCGACTTCCTTATCTAGGCTTGGGCAACCTAGCAGCAACCCAGCCCATGTGCTTTCTTCTGGTGGAATGGCAGTTGGGCACAAAAAAGGTGCTAAAGCTGAATGATTCTATACCCTGTTGTGCAAGCGTGTTGAAAAGAACGAATCAGTCGGAGCAACCCGATGAACTCTTAAGTTCAAGGAACACCACTATTATTGCCGTTGCTCTAAAACCTGACGGAATGTGAATGTGTGGCAAACATACAGCTGTAGAAGTTCCTGTGAACTGGTTGGAGATGAGACTATTTCTCGAATCGGGAAGGCCAGGATAGCTTTTGCTAACCTCGGAGACCTATGGCACCAACGTGACGTGACGTGACGCGATAGATGAATTATTCACGCTTCGTACGTTGCGCTGGTTGGGACATGAACTCTACATGCCAGAAGACCGTCTGCCTTACACAGCTCTTTTCTCCGAGCCCTGTGCTGAGTGAAAGCGACCGAGAGGTGGACACTGTACGACCTGGCAACGGAGCGCGAAAACACTAACCAGTAAACTTAGTCGGGACCATTGCCGCCTTCCTGGATGGGGACCCCGGGACTCAAATCACCAGTGGATAATGATATTGGATGAAATGGCCCAATCGCGCAGTCAGTGGCGCTCGTGTATCAAAGTTATCGCCTTCAGTGGGTAGCCACTCGATTTCCAAACAAAGTGAACATGCCTTCGCCTCCAAGACTTGTATGTCATACTTTCCTGTTTCCCGGTGATCGAAACTGTAGCAGCTGAAACCGATGTGCATATGGCGCACGGTTTAAAGCTGATAAATTGATTGATTGAATTGACTGTCCGGGGGGTTCTTGGTGACTGTTCTCAGGTCCCGCCTTTGCGCGCCCTCTTGAGAAGTTAAATAGGCGATGCAGTCTGTCAGTGCCACACACACTGTGAGCACCGGTTTTGAAAAGCAACTCACCCGAGTTGGTTAGGAGGACCTATTTATCGCAGATAGAGACAAATAAGTTAGACAAGCACTGACCGGAGATTTTATCTTTACCTTTAAACAGAGCGGGTGGGAAGTCACCAGGTCCAGCATCCTATTGGCGTTTGAGGAGAAAGACACCCGCTTGTCTTCGGGGCCAACGGGGGTTCCAAGCTCAGCGTCCATATTTGCATTAGGGGTAGGGAATCCGGCTGAGCAACTTCATGCAACCAGTTGAATCGGTCTCGAAGGTGTTCAACCCAATTATTTAGGAGTTCTTACTTTTTAAGGAAAACCGAGTCTTTGCCGTCCGTGACGGTTTCGCTCACTAGAGGCCTCTTTGGGCCTGTTGTCAGTATCGGCCAGAATAGTTTGCACATATTCACAGGCTTTGTCATTTCTTCCACCTACGCAGTCTTCAGACGCACCAAGCTTCTGAAACCGCACAGACCACTTTTCACCCGAAGTCTGACAGCACGTCGAGTGTCAGCACACTCTCGACCAGAAGGAAAGCGTCTGGGTTCTGACCGCTTTTGGAGGGTTGCTTGAGATCCGGTGCTTGGATCTTGTTGGTTGCACCATTCTACAAACCGAGTGCCCAGTGGGGTTGTGGACAATACCTTCCAGCGAGAGCCAACATTGGAGGACGTGTTGTCCGGAAAGGACTTCAGTAGATGGTTCCAGCAGACTTGCCTCAAATCAGGGCCCGAGTGCCTTCCAACGGTCAGGCGAGGTGTGCAAGTCTTGTGCATCACAGAAAAGCGTAACGAGAAGCAGTAAAAGACAAGCACGTGATCCGAACCTAGATAGGTGTTGTAGTAATTGAACACGCCACCCATGGCTAATGGCGATGTGGTTTGCCTATGCTGGAAGCTGGCTCGCATGCGCCCTCAGTTGCTTCGAAAGTTAGCACTGTACAGGAACCATCGGTACAGAAGGCGTTTACGGTTGCCCTGCGCCTCGACTCCAATTCGGGGCGCCTACGCGACTGAGTGTCAGTGGCACTGAGCAATCTATTTGTGCATTCCCATCTTCAGAAACCACAGCGATACCTGAACTCTAGGCCAGCCGCACCAAAGCGCTCAAAGTATCGTGAAAGGTATCTTTGGGTGCGTTGGAGCTACACTCAGCTAGGTCGTAAGCAGATCATCATCATCATCGACAGCATGAAATCTGTGTAAAACAGATGCAGATACGACGAACAGGTAGCGACTGTCGGCGACTACCAGCGGACAACCACCTAAGCAGGTACACTTCAGCTCGGTAAAAATGTCCAGCTGAAATACCTTTTCAGTGCTTAGCTGCCATGCCGCCCGACGGAGGCACGAGGGCTGATATACTATAAAGATATCCAAGCTTAGACATGAGCAATCGAGATGCTGAGGTCGATTCAGAATCCCGGACCCTCCGGTCAGATTAACCCCTAAGCTATCACGAACACGGCTCAGTGGATGAGAACAATACCAAACCCAGCAGAACCAGTCACTACGACTTCTGGGTCGCCGGCGGTGCGAGACCAGGAACGATCGGAAACCGATGGGGAGACCAGTTCAATAACCGTACTTAGGTCTTGAGTTCTCGTTTCAGGGGGACAACATACATCATTAAAGGGGAGAGACGCCTCGGTGACGCGAGTTAACTGATCGGAAGGTATGTGGCTCGAACTCGACTATTCCTGTCTAGACTTGGGCAAACTGGCAGTACCCCAGCCCTCGTGCTTCCTCTTGGCGGCATGGCAATTGGGCACCGAAAGGATGCTACAGCTGAACGATTGCACCGATAAAAAGCGAGTCACACGCACATGCAAGAGGAATCCGTTTCCCGGTTACTTCGCGGCGCGGAAGTTAAAGACAGCCACAGGAAGAGAAAGTCGGGGAGTTGGAGGATGATTTCGAAGTCTGCAGCCATGAAAACTGCGTTAATCTTATACATGACAGCTAACGGCAATCGGCAGCAAAGAGGACTGTTAGTCCTTACGAATGGACCGACAGAAATGGAGCTGGCAATGGAGTGAGGAGAAAATGAATAAACGGAAGAGAAAGAAGGAACGCGACACTAGAAGCCACTATTTTGC